CCCACTCCCCCAGAAAGGGGGCGGCGCGTACCACAGGCCAAAATGAGCCGCCCTGAAAACAGATAGCATTTCTCTAAAAACCAACGTAGGCCTGCGCCCGAATAATTCCTCTAGTTAACTAATAAACCACATGCAGCCGAAAGGGCGCAAGGAGCCACTCAATAGATTATGACATAGTTTTATTTCTATAGATATGCAAAGCTTCAAATGGAGAGACACTCATAAGTTGTTACTACCACTGAGAAACTGGTACCAAATGACAAAATTGGAAAGCTTTATAAATTTAATTTTAGGTAAAAATGTGGTAAACCGGCACAGCAACACCAGCAGAAGACTACAATATGTAACACTTTCCAGCAAACAACAACAAAAGAATACAATTCTTAACAGACAGAAACAGCACCATTATTTTCTCAAAGATCGCCAAAGTTTGGCGGGTCAACAGAGTTCTTCTTATTTTGTCCTTCATGCCATGCTTTTCGGATCGTACGCTTCATCTCATCATCGCCCTCATCATACATCTGTTTCATCATGTTCATTAACGACGCTTGTGGATCTTCATCCTTGTCATCGAATTTCGGTTTTCTGGAGAGGGAAATACTCAATGTGTTCCAACGCAATATTAGCACTTCATTAATAGGTAGCAGTCACCGTGCAGGGGAAGTTCCATGGGAAGATACAGTGCGCTAACCAGGGAATGTTCAAACTTCCCATGGAACTTTGAAAGGAGACCTAGGTACATCGATAGAGTCTTGGACGCTGATTACAAATATGGACACTAAAACTGCTACGTGAACTTTGTAAGAAAGTTGTGAGCCTTAAAAGTTGCAAAAGAACGCTAATGATGAGGTGCAACCTATGTGGAAACACGGTTGCTTTTTGCCTGGAACTTGTTCTATAAGGGTAAATGGGTGCCCTGATTACGAATATGAGACTCGTTTTTGGCGCAGAGCCACGGCGACTGTGATTCCACCAGGTAAGCTCGCCTCAGTAACGTTTTTTGCCAACTTTGAAGGCTCATAACTTTCTTAGGAAGTTCACGTAGCAGCAGTTTTAGTGTCCATATTTGTAATCAGCGTTCAAGACTCTATCGATACATCTAGGTCTCCTTCCAAAGTTCCATGGGAAGTCCAAACATCTCTTAGTAAGACTCCTATCAGACTTTGCGAATCCTTAGATACGCTAGCGAATCCACGGTCCTCCAATCTGAGTAGTACGAGCAATGCACCACCGGTTCGAACAATGCAGCAACGAACTTAATCTCTGATTCACTGGCGCATCGCTTGCACCCCTCGAATTGCTAATGAAATGCCCAATCGCTAGCGAATGCACGGATTCGCAGTCTGACACCGGCCTTGAACTGATATTTGACGAATGCTCCACCAACAGTGTCGGATTTGGACTATTTGCCCTTTCACAACTTTTTCAATATGAATCAGCTGTATTGGCTGGTCTAGGCCACTAAACAGCTGGTAAAATAATAGAACAGAATGTGGCGTTAGAATTCCTACCTCTCTCACTCTACCTACTATTTTCACCTCACGATCAGTTTGAAATTACCATTATAAACATAGCACACGGCGACTACTAATCTTTATGCCACCCGTTGCTGCACGCGCGTTTTGCTCATGGTAAACATTTTTCATAATAAGCATGATTGCTGCAAGAAGTGAACACACCTAGCTCAAGCAATGGCTTGAAACTTGAAGCAAAAAGAACTAATAGATTAACAGTTTACTGACCTTTCTGCGCTTCTGAATCGTAACTCGATTTCGTAAGTTTGCTTCCCCTTCTTTCCTTACGTTTCGCGCTTTTTCATCATAACAGCAGAAGCATTATCAGTTTTTGCTCGAAGAGAAATGTAACACTTCACGCTGTCTTCCGCTAGTTTAGAAGTAGAGACCGAAATCTCTCATTCAAGCTACTTAAACTGCTCTCTTTCTAAACACGAGTCAAGCCTAAATCTGACGCGATCTCTAACGCAGGCGCGTCACGAACTTTCAGGCGATCGGAAAGGTATCGGGTACTACTGACGGCTAGCGAAACCGTTCATTTTCACAATAAGCACACTATCATTCGATCCTTGCTATCAACGCACTCTACGATGGATATGTCAGTGATAAATGACTAAATAACTAGTGATACCACATCTAAGAGGCATGTCGTTAGTACGAAACTTTAAAGGCACAACCCAGGCAGAGGTTTTTTATAACTCTTCTCTTCGGTCAGAAGTATAGAACCCTAGGGGACAATCACAAATGTGGCGTTCACGTGCACGGAATTCGACCGACAAGAACGCTTTGGGCTTGCAAAGTAAGCTGCTCGAGCTGCAGCGAACGAGCTCTCTTATCAGGCCGTTGTCTGGTGCTCTCTCATCTGATGCGCTCTCTCGCCCCATACTCTCCTCTTCGCGCTTAGTCTCTCGTTCCTTTAGCACAGCCAATTAGGAAGGTGAGTGAGCCCTCAACCTGAGCGTTTTCGACGGATTCTTTTCCTTTTTTCTTCACTGCCGGCCCACTTGGCACCGATACATTCACATTCGTGTGCAAGAGCCACACCAGTGCGATCCTGGGGCATGCCTTTAAACACGCGCTCAAACCAAGTCCAGTTTACCCCGTTCATCACAGTCTTGCCGATAAAACTAATCTTTTGCAAGATCAGTTCAAACGCGCTCTCTAGATGATCTAGCGCTTAGGCTGCTTCCATAGTTTGCGCCGGTGCGG